ATTATTAATTTTCAAATTAAAAAGTATTCTTGCGATACTTTCGAGAAAAACGGATCTCGACAAGTTTTTACACAGGAAACCGGAGGATAGGGAAGAAGAGCACGCAGATAGCTAATCGAGATAAAGGATATCCGAGGTAAGAGCGCATTGTGGGCGGAAGGAGTTTTGTCGAACGGGAGCAATCGCCATTGTTGCGTCACGGTTTCGAGTTTCTGCGAATCCTTGGAACACCGATTGGCCGTCCATCGAGTTCCAACGTAAGACGAGAAGGTCTGCTAGAATCGTCGTCAGGTAGACTGGTTTTCCAACAAAATTTCGTAACCACCTGGGATTAAGTCGCGATACGCATCGTCCAGCGAAGAAGCCTCTGGAAGAAGAAAAAAGTTTCTCAATGATTGGCGTTCGTTTCGACCTTTAAGGACGAGGCGTTGTAACCTTATGTAACCCTACCTGCAATTCCAAAAGTAATACGATACGGGGGTAACGTTACCGCGTGCGAACCACAACCGAAGGAAGGAAAGGTAGAAACGCGGCGCGAACAATTTCAATCGAACCGGTACGTACGCGAGACCCTTAGCCCGCTTTTTTCCCGCCTCTTTCCCTGGAAAGCACTCTTTTTATCGACGAGTAAAAAAGGATCTCCAATAGCGGGGCTCGTCGCTGACGCTGATTACGTTTGACAGCTTCCGCATACGCTCCTTTACATATTCTGTTTTTTCCACATTTTTGTTTTTTGCGTGGTACCCGAACAACCACTCTTCAAATGTACTTGATTTTTTGCCGAGTTCCTTTCCATCTTTTATTTTTCATTGAACACAATATTATTGTATCGAAATTGATATTTGATGTATATCAATTTAGTTTAAACAGATGGCTGCGAAATATTGCTGAAGCAGTAATAACAATATAGCTATTACATTCGTAGACAGTAATTGATAGCGCTTCCATAAATTTCTTAAAAAATTTCGTCTAACTCGTTAGCCGAATGCCAAGGAAACCACGAAAGGTTCCCTCGAAATATGAGGTTGTCTCTGTTTCAGCCGGATTAGAGGATAGGACGGTCGAAAAGTCGTTACCGAGAGTGGTTTCGCAAATTATCGTGGCCACGCAGTCATCGGCGGGCATATGGCGCGCGTGCCTCGCAAGCGTGTCGAAGATTGCTGGCGTGTGCCGTGCCACGTAAAACGCTTCAGAATGTTTCACCAAGCGTGAACGATAGAAACTGAGCCGATCTACCGGCCATCTTCTTGTCTTCGATCAACGGAAGCCGTTCGATCGTGAACATTACCTCCATTGGCGTAAGATTTCTATGTTAGATGTGTACTAGAACTATCAACTAGTCAAGCGTTGCACGAATATATCCCTACAATCGTAAATTAATACTCGAAAGAGTTTCGTTCGAACATTTTCAACCCTCATCGAACCCGCATAAAAGACAAGCTCCCCGTCTGCAAACATTAAAACTCAATCCCATCGTCGACTCTTCTTCAAACTAGCCGACGAGATTTCCCAAAACTGTCCGGTTAATGCGTGGAAAACGAGTTTCCTGTGGTGCGTTTTGTGGATTGGATTAACAGCGATCTGAAGAGAAGAAAAAAATGGGGAAGGCAGTCGGTCGGCTGGTCGCATTCGTCGTCCAACGAGATAAACGACTATTTATTTGTCCCCGAAGGAAAGAAAATCCAAGCCTTTTTAACCGTGTGTCCAAACATCGGCATTACACCGTTGAAAGGAGGAAGAAGAAAATTCGACGAGGCGTACGATGATCGGCAGTCAACTAGCCAGCATCTCCGTTTGCCCGTAAAATCAGCAGAGCCTTCTTCTGAAAATCCTGCGACTCCTTACTATTCTTTTCTCTGCCGTCCGTGTAAATATAGTAAAATTTCAAGTCGTGGTATTAAATGAAATTACCGATTCACCGATGGTTGCTCGGTGACATGAATAGTATACAGGTCCGGGTATTTGGAAGCTCGTCTTATTCCAATTCGATTTACAGGAATGAAGCCTTCTTGCAGAAATTGACAAGAGAAATTCACCGTTAGTGCAGGAAGAGCAAAGATTTAAGTTGAGCAGTTCGACGTAAACGGACACGACAGCTACCGTAATTTTGTTCCTGGAGGGTTGTCCCGTGTCCATTTGCCTCCGGTGCAGTGTTCGTTCTTTTTTTTTTTCTTCTTTTCGTGAAAATACAGTCCGCCCTTTGTCTAAAGCATTGGAGCGTGGTGGTTGGTAGCGAGGAGAAAAAAGGAGAACCGTCTCGGCCAACAAAAGGGACTAAGGGCAGAAAAGGGAAATTTATGTATGTACCGTGGCGCAACAGCGCCATCTGCGTGGAATTCCATCCGGTCCATCAGTTTTTCGGTGTTCCTCTAAGATTTGGGTCAACCGGACAGTTGCGAGAAACCGTCCCCCCTTTTGGGGTTGAACCGACCGTTCGTTCGTTCACCTAATGATCCCCGATTTCTCGGTGAGTTAAGGTCCGGCCTTTTAGAACTTGCCGAAAACTCGCTGGTACCGCGAATTTTCCATTAAATCTAATTATACACGTACCTCGACCATTCAACTGTAAATGCGATACCCTAGTAATAGATCGATCAACGACCAGGGTTGACAGAAATATTTCCAACAAATTCATTTCTACCGAAAGGGTTGCGTTTGAGAGTGAAATTATTCATTTAAACTGTATAGAAATATAGCTACACATCTAGTCCACCACATATGTGGTCCATCTCTCAAAAATTATGTATTCCAGCATAGAAACCCTCAAAATGATATTGCAATGCTCATAACAATACTTGCAATATATTTTACACCGTTATGGTGATCGATTGAAGTTTCAGTGCAGAACAGAGACGTAAGGTGCTCCGTCGATCCGACGACACGTGGAAAATTTGCGTGAAAACGTCGTTCGACGTTCGTCGAGGTGGAATCGGCAAAAATTGATGGTGGACAATGCGAAAGTTGAAAAGAGTAAGCGATGAAAGAGAAGAGACAGTCTCCAACACCGGTGGAACATTTATCTCGAGTGTCACTTCACCCAACTTTCACCGGCACAATGTCACTTCGTTCTCTCCACCGTTGCTCGCACCTTTTTTTCTCCTCTTCGTTTCTTGCCCACGTCGAAGGGTGGTCCACCGAAATCGTCGTAATGGAGCTTCATTCAACCGCTGGAGCACGTCATTTGCATTTCTTGCGATTTATCTTCGTCCAGCTACGGTGTTCAGCGGGAAGGCACTTCTGCTTCTTTGTCATAATAGATCCACGACGTTGCTACCGGGGATCAGCGTGATCACGAACTGTCTGCGTTTTGAACGACCCCTTAGAAACAACATTATGTTGAATTCATCGGTGGAGTTGAGACTTGGAATGACAGATATATCTGTCTGAAGGGAAAAATTTAAAAATAAAACAATTATAAGTATTATTTATAAATCCAGACGCAACCAATTAGAAGAATAGAGTTGCTTCGGACAAAATATTTCAATTTATTTGCACCTGGTCAAAAGGCTGTCTTCATCTGCACGATAAAAAGGGTTGCGTTTTAAGAAAGCGAGGATCTTTCTGTCGTCTTCCATGGAACGAATTATCTAACGCGTATCTAACGGGCAGCTACCTCGCTCTTCATCTCTACAGCCACCTGACAATACTCGTCTCTTCATGAAGATGCCGATATATCATTGCAAAATAGCCGCGACTAAACGACGCCATTGCTTCGATGGTAAAAGGAACGAAATTTTACGTCCGACAGAATCCTTTCGCTCGCGATCGTCGTAGAAATGAATTTCGAGCATTCCTCGAAATTCACCCTCCGTTCTTCGCATACTCCAAAAGTCACGGATTCTTGCGCCAAATTTCTTTCAGAAGAGATTGTCAATCGTAAAATGTCCAGGGTTTATTTATTGCGAACTGTAAAGAAACGAAACTTGATTATAATTAACGAATTTATATAATAAACAAATATAGTTTATCCTCTCATTTTACGTAAAAAACTATTAGGGGTACCATGGAAAAAAAATTATTAGTCTCGATATATTTTCAAAAAGTGACTGTATGTATGGGACAAAACTTTATTGGATACTGAGCTCGAGATACTCTCTGACAATGAGTAGTGAAATATAGTTTTTGATATCGAAGCAATCTACTATTATCTGCGTTTGTTCTCAAGGCACAAATTCAAAACCCTTTGAATACAAAGGCATGTTTAATCTTGTTGGATCTAGAGTTACTGTTTAGACCGCCATTTTCCTTAGAGGGACACCATGCGTGCTCGAGGGTGTAGATTGTAGCCCCTTCTATACAAAAACGGCTCAAACTACTCAACACGTTATCGATCAATTTTTTTTTATTTTTTTTTTTTATTTACCTATTAGGTCCATAGCGAACCCATAAGTTAGTGCAACGTTACAGTGACAAACATGTGAGTACTTACATTGTGTTATCTGTAAAGTGGCTAATTCTTAAATTACATCAAATATCGCTGTAGATGTTAGATTTTGATTGAACAGGATTTAAGAAAATTATCAATGCATCTGAAAGCAGATATGGTGCGATAAGGCTTCTTGATCACTCAGAACACTAGTGCTAACTGTCGGGAAATAGCGAAAGTTACGCGACAACTTATCGACTGCCGGAGGATCGATTTCTACTACTACTGGCGGTAGGTTCAGCGTTTTTAGAGTGCGCTAGTGTATCGACGCTTCGAAAAATCGATCGATAACGTAGTGAGTAGTTTGAACTGTTTTTGTATCACACTGTTTTTATCGCTTGCGTCGCCGTAAAATTGCTGTTCCTCTTCACTTTGATTGCGTTGGAAGTGACGGTGTTGAGATGTAACACCTTCATAAACCGCAGTGATTATATAAAATACAAAAACAAAGTAAAGCTTACACGGTAATTTAAACTCATCAAATTAATTTTAATATAACATGATCTCTTGCGGTGCTACGGTATTAATTGAGTAGTTATGTTTTAAATAACATAATATTACATAATTTCTCAAGTTCTTTCAACGAGGGTAGCAAGGGTTTCATTTTATTATAACACTCAAGAATACAGTATAATCGTTGATACATATTTACAGAGAACATAACGCACATATATAAACTAAAGAAAAATACAAATGTAATTTATATAAATGAAAGATAAAAGTACTTCTACACGATTGTACTTGTAAGCAACGACATCGATGTCCCACTGTTATTACCAAATCATACCCGTTTCCGATTTTGTACGAGCCAAAGGATTCAAGCATAAATTCTTCAACACCTGAACCGCATCCTCGCCATCATCTCTCGCGTATAATGTTTGCCTTTTACTGTTTCCAGGTTCAAAAGAATTCTCCTTATTTTTCTTAACATCTGATTTATTTTTACGTTTCAGGGAGTTCTTCGACGAGGATGTCCCCGGTTTCTTAGTCTTAAACGATGGACGACGTTTTCTTCTTTTACTAATTCCGCTTCCACTACCTGAACCAACAGAAACCAACGACCTAATCGATGGATAATCGATCCCCTTATCAGAATCTCTCAAAGTACTCCTTTTAGAAATGCTCTGATTCGTATGTGACATTTTTCGTTTAGGATGAGTTCGATGACGAGGTGCCAAAGAGGCGCGTGGTCCTTTAAAAATCGGCCTCAAAGTTCCTAATACCCTTCCATGTTGATCCAGCAGCTCGTGATCCTGCCAAGAAGTTACCACAGGCAAACCACACGCGTTGTGCATTCCTACCAATGGTACACCGATTGCTCGATGCTTGTTCATCTCCGGAAATACTTGATACTTGTCCGTGAAGTCCCAGTTGCGACCAGTGCGTTTCGCGTTTTCCTCGTACGCGGATATCTTTTGACCGACGTGTCCACGCTCGAGAGCTATCGTTCCCCATTTTCTTGAAGCCCGCGTCTCGTCGCTCTTCGAAGGTTTATCATATACTTTCGTTTCTTCCTTGCGTCTGCTTCTGGATTTCTTATCCTTCAACCATCGTCGACTGGAGGTCAATTTCTGAGAGGAAGATTTATGAAAGTAATCATCCAAGTCGGTGATATCTCGGTCCTCGTCGCGCATGGAAACATTATGCTCGCTTTTAACTATTCTTCTATCTAAAGTCTTCAGTTTCGAATTAATTTGACTGTTATTGTTTCGAATCTCACGCTGATAGTCGCAAGAATGGCAAGACCTTCGTGACGGATTGCCGGTTTCCGAACGTTTCGAAGCACGAGTCAATGGTTCCTTAGATTTGAGAAGATTCTTCTCTGGTTCTGATATCGATGATTCAAACTGTAGCTGAGGTGCTTCGGACCGCCTTAGAGTTCCAATATTGTAAGCTATCGATGCTTGATAATTTCTTATAGGTATGCTCCTGACGGTACCGCTGTTACTTTGCCTCCCTTTCAACGCGTTCTTTTTGTCGTCACGAAGTTTAACAGGGTCCTTAGATTCTTTTGAATTGTCATTTTTGTAGTCCTTTTTATAATCCTTCGAAGAGTGGAAATAATAATCTGGTACTACGTCGATCGCTCGTTCCTCGTACAACTGATCGCTTCGAAGCACGTCTTCGTTGAACTTCGGAGGATTCTTCCATTCCTCGATGATGCTTCTCCCGAATCTCCTCACGTCGTTAAGCCTAGGCAAATTCGACACACTTTTCGTGCCTGTATTCTTGACGTCGATCGTTGATTTACCCTCGCTGCCCTCTAGCCACCTTCATGATTTAGCACCGAACGTCGTCCCGGCCACGTGCATTCGATTCTCGATCCCAAGCCCTATGAATTATTCAAACGGATTCTTAATGGACAGTTGATGGGTTAAGGACGAAAAAGGAATAAAATCTCCTCACCGAAATCGTGGTCGCTCTCGCTGAATGGACTGAGAGTTTGCGTGGACGTAAACGTCGACGCCTGCGACTTGGCCCGTCTATTTCCACGCGAACAGGCGAAGAACGTGCTTAAAAGTGCGCCCACTTCTACGAAAACCACCGCCAACCCGACGGTGAGTAGTATCAGTGCTTGATCTTGCGTCCATTTCTCTAACATCTCCAAACAACCCTGTGAACATTATATACCCTTCTCTTTAATATTCGAAGATCCCATCAAGTACCTTCCATTGCTATCCATTCACGAATAAAATTAAAACATATCAGTTCGCAAGCATTTTAACGCGATAATGTCATCATATTCGTGGACAGCGAGGACGCGCGAGGACATTTCAATTTTCAATTTAATTTCAGCCAGAGCGAGTGAAATTTAACGCGTGTCGCGGACACAACGACAAGGAAACTTTCTCGCACAATACCAGGAGCAACTTTTCAACGAGCATACGCGACACGTTCATTTCCAGATACGATACAGATTAAACGATACATCGGTTGCTTTTGCGCAACCCGCATACGACTGAATTTCCCTCAGGCAGTGATATTTGCATGCGGGTCATTATTGAACGCGCACGTGTGTCACTGAAACGGTATTGACGATCGTTCTTGTTATTCGTGTCGATTAAAAGTTCCTGTACACTTTACAAAAGGCAACCTATTAAGGATGATCTAGAAACAGAATGTTCGTACGCGTTCTTCTTTAAATAACAAAAGCTTATTCCCCCAAAAAACGAAAGTCAACGATTCACCCTTATACATCGTGTACAATATATCATTTTCTGAACTAATTCGTGTGCAGCAGATCTGTAGTGACAAATTTCAACAGCAACAATCAAAGACCATCGTATCTCCTGTCTACTTGTCACAATGTTTACACGTTTCGTGCGTTTAATGACATCCTCATTACGATACGTACCGTGGTGTGTCGTGCGTATTGATGTTCGGCAGGGTTCAAAGCCTGGCAGAGAGTAAGATTGGCAGGTTCAGGGTTGAGGAAGGAGTCGGTCTGGTTGGCGTTATTCAGGGTGCAGCAACTGAGAGGCACCACTAATTCTCTTCGGCCGACTTCCTGCAGCCGCCACCACGAGGTGCCGTAATTGCTGCTTCCGTTGATACCACAGCAAGCAAACTGAAAAGGTCGATGCAATTTACGGCGTTCGATGTCGATTGGGGTGTGCGTGTAATTACGCTTCTTTACGAAACATTAATCGTGATCACCGAGGTTTCAGGAAACAACGTAGACACTCCTGCGTTCTCGATTGCTCGTTGACTATAATTTACATTACACTTTTTCTTTTTTTTAAATAAAGATTAGATTTATTGAGAATCAAATTGCTAACTGGAAGGATTTTTGATGATTTTTCTATGGTACTCAAGGTGTTAATTAATATATACCGTGGTTTGAGCGAGATCCAAGGCTGCTGTAAATTGCTCGCGACCAGGAACAGCATAGCTGCGTTGCAGGGCGCGTATCAATCTCGCTGATCTGACATCGATACCCAACACATGAGGCCAAAACACCACCAGAACGCAAACTGTGCACTCGCCAAACAACAGCAGAGTTATCGTGATGAGATACTAAATCAAAAGTAAAATGCAGAATATTTTGTAATATGTTCTGCTGTAATTTGAAATATCATAGCTTTTTAATTTAGAAAAAAAAAAAAAGATTAAAACACTGTAATGATGTTCTGATTTTCAACGCGTTTACGAACGGTGCACGCGTGTTCGGTTCGCCTAATAAGCGGCTCCCTGAATAATTGCTGTTTTTAAATGATACGCGAACTCGCCCTCTTTCCATGGGCACGCGTGCCTGGATTCATCTAGATCCGTTTCCGGCCAGCGACGCGTGACCATAAAGTGGGAAATCTGGTTTCGGTTTGGTCTGCCGAGCGTACTCGTCATCGAGGCTCGACGAAGAAGCGCGCAGATCGAACAGACCTTGACTTTTGTCTATAATTATCAAAATTACAAGTTTCGAACTTGTAGGACTTTGTACATTCATATATTTTTAATTCAAAATTCAAAACTTCACTTTATTCATTGAATCATTTTTCAAATAATTAAGTAAATGAAAAAGAGTTTATCTGGTAAAAGAATTGGTAAATTTCGACCTAATTTGAAGATTCTAGCGGGAACATTAAATTCCATTCGCGTTTAATTGCAAAGTGCAACGCGTGAAGAATCATGTTCCTTGATACTAGCGTTGTTAATGTTAATATTGAATTAAACATTAGGTTTAATTAACTATAACGACTGAAGAAAAAGTAAACATGCAAAAACGGTCGAATAAAATGTTTAAGAAAGGATAACAAGTTAAGGTCTTACAGAAATTGTGACGCATCGGTTGTAGATGCAAGTAGCCCAACATCCTAGGAGACCCGTGAGCGTAATTAGGAAGCCTAATCCAACGATTGCGAAAGCCAGGTAGTAAAACAAGGGTTGATTGGGGTGTATATCGCCTGGTCCCAATAAACGCGACAGTAATATGCGTTCATCGTCAGCTAACAACAATGCTCCTAATGACATCAACGCGAAACCCGATATCTGGAAATGATGATGATATTCTTAACACCTTATCTACTGTTCGTCGATGAAATACATAAGTTTTCCATCTTGTAAATAAGAATTGTGATATAAAATTTAATTTTCATTTTTCTTCCCTGACTTACCAAAAAAATGACATTCGAACAACACACGAAAATTCGCGATACTCCGAGGCTTTTTCTGTCCATTTTAAACAGTACTCATTTAATCCTCGATTTGTTTCTGTCTGCGAAGCCGGGTGATAAGAAGAGACCGGTGACAATTTGTCACGTCAATCCCTCGCGATGACACTCCATTAATGGTCACCGATAAACGTTCGCGAAGTTTCAATTTACTAGAAATCTTATTCTGTTTTATTTCTTTTCCTTTCTTTCAATTCCGAAGTGTACTTGCTCGCGTTAACCAGAGGACTAAAAAGCTGGCGCGTGATAGACAGTGCCGTACGAATACTGGCATCTGTACCTACATGCGCTTGCGTTGTGTGCCCTCATGCACGACTGACCGGATGGAACCGGAAGGAAATAGAAAGGCACGAAACAAAAATGAACAAGGATGGGGTGAAATGTCCATATGTACTTACGTACTTGTATATATGCGATTGTTACAGATACGACTGGTGTTCGTCAAAATTTCCCACAGGGGGAGTTGACAATTTTAAACGCAATTGTTCTGGATGAGTAAAGCTCGACTTCATTTCCGGTCGAACTTATAAAACAACTAAGTTTACATCACAAATCAAATTCGAAAATTGCTATCAAAATGCTTCGCAAAAAATATAATTTCTATTTGTTCAAATACAATTCTAATATTTCCTTTAATGATAGATGCTTTCAACCTACAATTTCTATTAATTTCTTCTACATTTGTTAACGTAAGACTAAATAGATATTGAGAACGAATACCAAGAGAGATTTGTAACATTTGTGATAAATTGGTTTTGTAATATCGTGCTATAGTATAGAGAAATGCGTTACGTATATTATTGTGAGTGTTCATGAAGCCTATCTCCTCTTTGCATTAATTTACCTGGTACACTATGCTGTTCTGGTTTAAGTATTGCGAATGACGCTTACCTACACCTGTGATGTATTACTACTAGTTATTACACGGACAAAGGGAATAGGAAAATAATACAGTTTTATTGTTTTTTTTTTTTTTTAGAGTATGAAATATTTATACAGAGTTTAAAAATCTAATGGGCTTTCACGCGATTGACTACAGCATCCAAATGGTTCTTCATCTTGTTCTCGTTGCACGGTATCTCCCAATTCGGGTGGTAAATGCAAAACCTATAACATAATATTAAAAGTTTTATATATGATTGTTAAGTTTCAATTAGTCGCATTAAATAATTCACCTCAATAAAAAATTTCTTCCGTCGTAGTTTGAACGTAAGATCACACGATTCTGTTTTATGAGGTGCTATAGTATTTATAGCAGGCATTTTTTTTAGATGCAGTAAGCCATGATAATCTTTAAATAATGGATTTGTCTCTTTTTGAGAGCCCGCGAATGATTCTAATTTAATTGCGATATCTGACAAATGTTCAATTCGTTCTACTATAGCATTCTGAAAATCATTTACAAAAAATAAGATTTGTGTATGTAAATCAGCTTAATTAATATTTTACGGGTATAAAACATACAGAATTATCTAAACAATCCACAGGTACAGTGATCACTCCCACTGCATAAGAGTATCTCAAAAGTGCTCTAAAGTGATACAGAAACTTCAATAAATCTTGATGTGAATCATTCTCAGAATCACTAAACCATAATCTAGATCCTAAGGAATGAATTGTAATTCTTAAAACTTGTCTTTTTTCAGGGATCTCTGAAACTAAGTATTGTCCCTCCTTCAAAATTTCTTGAATACATTTTAGTAACCTTGAATATGTCATATTCTCAAACATATCATCCTTTTTAGGAAAACTATCATCACACCAGTGTGTGATATTTGCTTGTTCAAGTACTTCTTTTTTCATTGTCTTTGTAAGATCATAGAAGTGACCAAAAACTTGACCTCCAGTTGGAGATGTGTCAATTAATTTCATGTTCTGATACCTCCAAGCAATTTTCATTTGTTCATCTGTGACAAAAGGTTTCTCAACCGGTGTCTCTGTTATCACAGTTGGTATGTCTGATACAAAATCAGATGGCTTAACATCTTTGGATGCTATCAATAGTGGTTGATTTGTGACTATACCTTCTGCCATAAAATACCTCAACATAACTTTTGCATATGTACCATATCGATCTTCCTCTAAAACAAAAAGTTATTTTCCATATGCTTTTAATATGTGCATAAGTATTACATACCAATAAGAAACAAAGAACCAACAGGTAATCCACCGCCTAAAAGAAAATTCAAGTATCATATTAAAAATCTTATGCTAGAAATGAACCATTTCTCAATTAAGTTTTTCAAACCTATTATATGATCTAAAGAAGGAATTCCTGATGATATCAGTAATTGTGAATTCTTTATTGATGGCTTAGTTCCAGGTATAAAGGGAATTCTACTATGTTTTGCACCACTTCGATCCATTATTTACATTTACCTATAAATTGATTTGTTTACATCAATTATTGATTCACATGTCACAGTTGGATCTGTAGTCACAGTGTATCATAACAATTACCATGTGTATTTATAGGTTAAGTTAGGATAGGTTAAATCTGCAAATCTCATACAATAAATTGCTTACAATATTTTAATTCATTATAATATATTTCATATAAGTACATAAATAGGTTATTAACGCATGATCTATACAATTTATTTATAAAAATATTAAATCGTCATAAAAATAATTCGTAGTTTTGTCGATCATATCCTAAATGTTATATAAAACAGCTGAACGATGGCAGCACTTACAAGTGGTTTGCATTCGGCAGCTGACGCTTCTTTTGGTTTGTAATCCTTCTGCTAGAATGCACCGGTATCAGTCTCTGCAATTTACAATTTATCAGTTGTATAACGTGTATTTCCGTTTTTAAAGTCTACCTAATTTATTCTTAAATTAGAAAAAATTCAATGTAGTTCCCTTACTCCTCCAGAGAAATATTAGTGTCTCAAAGCATCCTACTACGTAAGTTATCTGTACTTAAGTTTTTGATTATAGAAATTTCTAAAACAAATATATTTGCAACGATTGTGGGAATATTTTATAACTTAAAATTAATTACTCTTAGGTAACAAAACTAAACATAAAGTATCATAAGTAATTAGAAATTATAAACATAATTATATATATATCGATTTATAGAAGTGATATATTCATTTTCGAAAAGCCAGGATACGGAAACGCGTTCCTATGCTATACTTTGAATACATCGTGCTATAGATTGCGAAGAGCCAAAGTAGGGGAATGAAATACGTAAGTGGTAAGGGAGAGAAGGAACGTGCACGTGTGTGTACAAGAAAGAGAAAGTAGAGGGTATGCGTGAGTAACCCGTCTCGTGCATTTAGATTCGAAGCTGTGGCACAAGCAGTTGTGCAAACGGACGGTATGGAGGTATCCGGCCAAACACTGAAACCCTCCCTGTTACTAGCCCATCTTTTTCCCCTTCTAACATATTCCGTTCGACTGTCTTCCTCCTACTTCTCTTAACCGTTTCCCCTACCATTCGCGTACTTTCTTTCTCCAGCGTACTCGTGCCGACTATCGATTTCTCGCTTCCTCTAAGAGTCTCTTTCTTTCTTTCTACAGACAAGCCGGAGCACGCTGCCCTCGCTCAACTACCTGTTGTGACGTCCAACGCGCACTCGACGACGCACTGGGACAATCGAGAGATTCAGCACACGCCGCGTGCGCTGCTGTTTTTCCGTGTGTGTTTCGTGTATATACCTTCGTTCACGGCCGGCAAGACGTTCGTACACGGTCCTCCACGTATAAGAAAGCCTTCCGTTGGTAAAGCGTGTGCCCGATCTGTGAGGTAAAGCCGATATTAAGCCGCGAAAGGCTTGTCGCGCACTCCCACTATCATTCCACTTCCCGTCCCGCGCGTAACGACGCGATAAGAGTAAGCGAGACGAAGTAGCGATAGAGAGAAAAAGAACTTAGCAAGAGGCGTACATTGAGAAGCTATAGTTAGACTTTAACAACTAGAGAGAACATTGAAAGCATGTTTAAAAATTTATAGTCTATGAGAACCATTGTTCTTACTATTATGTTCATAAATTGCAATAATTGGTTCTTATAGAAATGCACAGTCCTTTTATGTACTTTTGAAGTAGACCGTAAAACTATTATCTTCTGATTAATTCATTCACTTGAAGCTTCTTGAAGAAAGATTTTGTTAACAAAAACAAGACTAACAATGATATGAATAAGTATGAAATTATTTCGTTGACATTCAATTTATTTTCAAAATCTCTACATTTGTATTTCTTTATACTAAAATTATTGATTAATTTATAGCTTACTCAACTGAAAGACCTGTATTAACGACAGGAGTATAAAAAATGAAACTAGGAATGCACAGTATGTTTGATATAATAAGTGCAATATGTTTTTTAAATTAGATTTGATGAAATGTACGATGAGGCGGATTTCATATATGGCGCCAAGCGTAGTTGCAGAGATCGCCGCCAGAGGGCGCAGTAAATTAGGCGCCTCTTGTATACACGGAGTTTCCAGGCCCTGAACTTAGTCGCGCGCGGTGAACGTTCCGTTCTACCGTCGAATCTTCGCGCGCGTCTCGTCGAGAGTGACAGTTCGAAAATTTTCTTTACCCGGAAGACAAATGGTATCGCTGAAGTTGTACGCATTGTTATATTGACAACGACGCGACGGGACGCGTATAGTGCGAACATTGTGGAAGCGTCGGTTACTCGTTACCGAGCCGGAAAGACCGTGGTAATCACAAGCGAAGTGCGTTCGCGTGGAGGCTGAACAAGCGGTGACTCGTTGTGTTGGAACGACACGGACTTCACGGTATACCGTACAGTCACGTGGCATCGGGAAAATAAAACGCGGAGAAATAAGTATCGGCGGTATGCCGCGATGTCAACAACCGGACAGACAAAACAGTGTTTAAACGTGACATTGGTGCGTGTCTAGTGTGATAAAGGGTGACAAACATTATTTACAGTGGTCCCACGTCCTCGGTTGTCCCGATTGATTAACTCGATCGAAACAGAAACAAGGCGCGATACACGGATACACGAATTAAATGACAATTCCTTCGGTCCGTTAACGAGAGACGTCGTACGCGTTCTGTACGATCGCAACGGCGCGGCGGGGGGAATTGAAACTTTACCGATCGAACAATCAACGTAACGCGAAGCATCGTATCCGTTGCGAAGCGATCGCGTTGGCGAGAACGAAGCGAGGGCATCGCGGAGCGTCGAGGCGCGAACGACGCGACGACGACATATTCCAAATGCGTCTTGACCGGAAGTTGAGGATCGTCGCATTGGCAGGGTGGCAGAGGATGCTCGGCTCGAGGGCAGCGGCGGGAGACGAGGTCGCAGCAGTAGCAGTAGCGTGCGTCAGGCGCTTCGGTAGCAGAGGTTCTCACTGAGCTGGCTTACCCTGCGGTGGATTTAGGGGGCTGTATGGAGGCCGGGGGGCTCCTGCCCCGCCAGCCCCCGCAAGGCCCCCCCGGCAACGCGCCTGGCCCCATATCGGTCTGCGTGGGCCAGGCTCCTAACAACAACAACGCGAACAACGTAAACAACGTTATTGGCCAATCAGGCGGGATTCACGACTTGAATGTGACCAGTCAACAGCTGCAGTTGCAGCAACAAATGGGTCAAGCACCTGGCATGGGTGAGGTACTCACCCCCAAGAGACAGGCGGTCGTCGATCGACTTCGAAGGAGGATCGAGAGTTACCGACGCAGACAGACTGATTGTATACCGCGATTCGATCAGAGTTTCAACGGACTTTGCGAGCAGAACATTCAGGATACCTTGGTGCTGAAACAACGCTACCTCGAGAGCAAAGCAAAACGGCAGGCGAAGAAAACGGATAAGAAGCAGAGCGATCCGGTCGGTCTCTCCAGCGTTCACGTGGTGAGTCATTTACTCTACTTGTTCTCTGTTGCCTTTAGCGTAGGTGATCCGGCTGTTGGTCGTTAACCTTCTTCCAAAATCTTATCATTTTCTCTTTCATTTTTATTATAATATATAGTCCCTGTCCATACTATCTCGAGTTTCTCGAATTTTATTCGAAACTTATTTTACTTTTACTTATCGCGGACAATCGAATCTCGATAATGATCATAAATCACTGACAAACGTTGTCAGAAATTTGAGAAATTTCTCTCGAAAATAGAACGTGGCAGTACCCGATGATGGTACCGAAAGCACGCGGCCTGATCTAAAAACGAAAGCGGCGAGGGTCACGCGATTGAGAACATCTAAACTGTATGTAGAGTGTAGAGTATGTAGCGAGTAAGCGGCACTCGGCAACTTGCCGGGTCAAGACTCTACTACACAGCTTTGGAATCGAAGCGCGGGCGTAATGAAATACCACGGCTCTTTACACCTATCCACCGAGGTTCATTTGCAAAGGATAGGGATGTACTGTTGCCGCGTGCTGATAACGATACGTTGCCGAACCAACTTCCCGTCTGCAATTAAAAAGTATCCACGTTGTAATCAGGATATCGCAATTATTCTTTTCATCCTTGCTATTTTATTCAGTACAGACCGACCTACAGGTGGAATTAAACACGTGCTCGCGTGTTATTTTCATTACGTCAATTTTGTAGATTTTTCATTTATCTTTCTGCTCTCTTAATCGCGTTTGAGTAGAGTTTATAGTTAGTCGAATACTCTGGAGTACAGTCCAATGAACAAAGTCGAAACAATCGTGTAATTATATATATATCTAATACTGTTTTAGTTTTTGTTTATCTGCTCTTTTTTCTCTGATAAGAAACACTACGTCTCGTGTCACGATACAATATCGTTATCCGTGCGAATAAAAATTGATTCTAGACGAGTATTCCTGTTCGGAAACATTCAATTTACCGCAGATTCATGCCGCCTGCTCTGTGTATGAAGTTTCGAACACATGAGTCATCCAATTAAACGCATAATTTAGCGGCCACGTGTAGGCACATACAGTTCCATATGCAAATGCCAATCATGCGCGTTCATATATGAAGTTCAGTTCATTGCCACGAATTGTTTAACGCTGTCCCATATTCCTTTCGGCTGAGAAAAATCGGATTTCGAGATAATCAAGTTACTATTCAAAATTCAAAGAATGAGAGTGAATAATGAAAGAAATGAAAATAAATAAATTCGCGAGGCGAGAAATTTAGAAGCATGCTCCAAAATTAAATGAGAAGAATAATTATTCTCGCAAAGTGTGTCAATTTCTTGTCTCAGCCTTTTTTCTTTTTTAACGACGAGTACTCTAAATTTAGATATTTATCGCTCGAGTGCCGAGATAGTCGAAGAAAACTAAAATATCGTACATAACTGTTCCGTGTAAATCTTCGAGTTTACATGTTACGAGAATTTTAATCAAAACTTAACTCTATCGCTAATACAGTTTAAATGATTGCGTATAAATGATAATTTGCGATAGGAGCTCGTGCTCCGATATTATAAGGCAATAAGTAAAACGTGAAAAGCGTAAATGAAAAGAAACGGTATCTAAAATATTTCGTACACGTACGAATGGTCGCGTGTTCGCCATTTTATCTCTCTCTATAAATAAATACGTTGCTTTCACGTTTTACTTGGCGTTTAATTAACGAACACACCTATTCTCTACACGGAGTTTCAACTTTCACGCGTATCTTTCTTCTCCCCCTTT